TGAGAAGCCGTTCAAATGCGATCACTGCAATTCAAGCTTTGGCGATAAATCAAACTTGCGAAGACATGCGCGAACTCATACTGGCGAGAAAACAAATGCCGCATTTGCGACGAAAAGATGAACGACGAAAACTCCTTAATTCGTCGCTAGAAAACCAACTACAGGGAAAAAAACCATAAATGTTCATATTCTACTTTGTAAAGGCGAACAAATGTTGCTTCTCGGGCAATCTTGAATAAATACTTCTGAAACCTGGAATAGCACAATTGCTAAAACTACTAAAATTCCTCGGACGTCAACGTGGGCGCCTCATTTTAATATTAATAGTATGTTATTATTGATTTATCAGTTTACCATTAATGAGCAATCAGATGTTTTGGAATAAAGTTATTTAGGGATGAATGGCGTTGAATCGAGGCAAGTGTCGTTCTAGATATCCTCCTGGATTATACATCCCAGTACATATACAACGGACCCAAAGCATATCCAACTTCTGGGCACAACATGCAGGAGCATTCCGATGACAACACTAACACCAAATCACCACATCAACACTCTGGACGGCCTCTGTATCTTAGTACTATAGGCAAGCACAGTGTTTATACAAAAATTTATTAAAATATTGTTCGTGGCTTGGAGAAAAATGAGAGAGAATGATGAGTACGATGAATTACAATGTTAAAAAAACCCCAGTAACTAGAATTAGTGAAATATTTTCAGAAAGTTAATTGTGCAAATAAGCGGCAATATTTCATTAAACAACGAACATTCCATGAAAATTTCAGTTTTTCATCTTTTCTAATTCCCTAGTTGGCAATCTTGCCACCAAAAACTTTCCCGGAAATTTTATCACCAAAACATGAGGACCACGCGCACCTGGGAGTTGGATTTGTAACCTTTAAGTTGTGTGTGGGCTGAAAATAATCTCTTAAATCTGTGATTTCCAAGTTTTTTTTTTGAAATCTTTAATTTATACGTGAACAGGAACATCAACTTTTCAGCATGCGGGTTCAAGCATGCAAGGAAGTTGATCCCGCGTTGTTGGCTGGTGCTAGGCCAGAGAACCTATTGGCAAAATTTCAACATCAAAGCTTGTTTGGCTATCTAGTCGAAATCTTGAATAGGCGCACACACACACATACATATGAACACACAAACATACACACCATGGGTCGTCACAATACGCATTTTTGCATTTCCACCAAAAATTTCACGTGTTGGCAAGTGAAACATAGGCTCACCCGCGGACTGAATTTGTAGAATTGTGCATTAAATTTAGTGGGAATGTTTACTCTTTTTAAGCGTAAAACAAGCTTCTGCCGTTGCATGTGCTGTCACACACGAACACATCGGATGTTCAGACCATGATGATTTTTCATTCTTTTCTCTCGGTGGCCAAATACCCCATTCCCGTAGCCCAGATAGTTTCAGTTACCGAAACAAAGTAAGCTAAAAATCTGAAACCTACTAAGGCTTTTTTCAGCAAAGATAAATATGAACTCGTTGCATGGCACAGCATGGAAGAAATGGTGAAAACCAACTTAAAACCACTAAAATGAGCACTCAAGTTGGAGAAAGTTGAAGAGAAGGAAATGGAAAATGGACAGTGCTGGAGTTTGAGTAAAAAGCTCATAACTGTTGAAAGCAAAATGTAGCACAAGTTTATTAGCCCCTAGCAAATCAAGTAAACATGACACTCGGTGGCGTACTTGCACAAAATGGAACGCTCGTGAACGTTAATTGAAATGCAATGACAGCTTCGTTACTTACTCCGGAAGGATTTACCAAAAACCCACGTTGTGTCGCATCAGGGTTACAGAAGAAGTCATGCACATTTGCGTTGAACTTGAAGCAATCAGGTCGTTAACTTACTCCATAATGAACCAATCGAACTGACAGCCACCGAATGGACATTGGGCGACATCGGTTACATTAAAAACCCAGGCTGGAACGCCCCAGGCGAGCCGGTGCGATCATGCGGTTTTGCACCAAACCTGAAGTAATTAGGTTAACTGCATGAACAGTTGTTTCTTCACATCGGCTTTGTGCGCTTAGCGCCGTAAATCATTATAAACAATTTCTGTTTAGCGGTCGGTTTTATTTGAAAATCACTCACCTGCTCAATGAAATTTTCCCGCCGATAATTTAAGTGACCGTAAACGAGAACCACGCGTACAAAGGAAACTGAATTTGAAACCCTAAATCCATATTGGAAAAGAGAATATTCTCTTAAAATCTCAGCCTTCCAGCTTTGCTAATTCCCGAGCTAGTCATTTTCCCGCCAAAAGTTTTCACGAGCTCGAAAATAAGGTTGATTGGTTAGGTTGGTTCTCTTAATCGAAATGAACCCAATTTGGGACTGCATTTCCTGGAATGGCATTTCATTATTTCAAAAATTTTTAAAAAAATTAAGCAAGAGAGTGCTAGGAAACAATCAGCATTATTATTGTTGTCATTGTCTTTACTATTAGTGTAGTTATTAAACTATTATTGCAAACATTATTATTGCAACTACTATTGTTGCTGCCATTACTACTAAACTATTTTATCATTATTGTCACCAAAATTATTATTATTATTACTGACTGCCAAGAAAAAATCAATTTTTCGCTCGCAAATAATTTGGATTGGAATTAGGATTAAAAATCGTACAAGGCTCAATTTCTCTCTGAGGCTCCATGGTGTCTAAGATCCATAAAATATGGCCGGAAATGAGGCTAAGCCAGAGAAAGGGAATGGACAGTGAGGTAGCGAGGGATGGAAGGAGGAGGGTGCCTGGGGAAAGAAACGTCAAATTGGGTTGAATTTTGAAAAGACCCCCGATGATTTATTGCGCGGCCGAAGCCAACGGATACATAAATACTTGCTGTTCATTCATCCATGTGCATTCTGCAGAAGCATAGGGGCACACTTCATTGCCGACTGGAAATTTGATATATAAAGCCAGGACTTGGGCCAATGGCTAATACTTGTATTTTTTGGCTATTGCGAGGGCAGATTGTGAGTGTAGGTTTCACGCAAGAATGAACCTCCAATTTACTTGAATACTTGAGCAGCTATATGTCACCGATGTTCGTTGTCGCGCCATCGATGCAGCTCGCAACTTCTTCATTCAACTCGTTGTTGCAGTCTCCGAGACCACGTAACGCCCTACAAGGGTACTATTTGGAACCGCCATTTCGCTGGGAGCTTCCCCAGCGTCCGTTTGACCATTCGTGCGTACCATAGCGTTATCCGCTCGAGTTATCCAATAAAAAAAGAACTGAGAGAACGTTTGGAGCGTGTCCATTTTAACTGAGTAAAAGAAGAAACTGATTTAAAAAATGCATGTCGAAATTGCCAGCTTTGTTAATTTGATGAGCTGTTTGTTTCTTCGTTTTGTTTCTTTTCGCCACTGATGGATTCAGACGCTTACATCTCCGTTTCCACAATTCTGGATAAGCGCTCAACTGGATCCTTTTCATCTGTTAACCTCTTTATCATCCGTCCAGTATTTTGGATACCAATCAACAACCCGCCTTTTTTGAAAGAAGATTAGCGCAACGAAGCTCCAAATAAGTGTTCAGGTGGTCAAGGTTGTCGAAAGTTTCCTCTTTTTGAGGAATATTTAAAATCAAGCTGATGTTTAAAATCTGAAAATTATGCTGATGGTGGGTTTAGCTCCCCAACAAATTTTAATAACAAATCAAAACGAATGAACGAATCATAAAGGAATTGGCTGTCTCACTGGCGGAGGCGAACGTTTACGACCTTCTGCACGACATCAGCACGGAATACAAGCATAGCTCTTGTTCACGGGTTTTTATAATACATAAAATGCATGAGAACTGCACAAAAATCGTCAAAAACTATATAATTAAATATGAAACGAGCATGAATTCAAATTGTTGAGGAACAAGCGCGAAATCGACGCGGCCGAGGAATCATTTTCTGAAAACAGTAATGGCGTTGTTTGTAGATGAACTGTTCTGGATCTTTATCGTTTCCACTACGTATAAACTTTTCCAATAAAAATGCTTTAAGATCACGTAGTTCCCTGCCAATATTGAATGTAAAATATCCATAAACATAGCCATTAAAGGAGCTGTTCATGGTTGCAAACATGTACAAGATTTTTAGCACAAACGATGGAATAACGATATTCTTCCGCGATCGACCGGTCTAAAAATTATCTAAAACTTTGTAATTTTTACATGGAATTCCCTTCACAGATCAATTCTGAAACTTATTATGCATACTTTAGTGATTAATAAAATTCGACATACTTGGTGCTTTAAACGATTCAGAATAGCGAAAAATGGAAAAGCAGCCAGCAGGTCGGCTTTATGGAGCTTTGTGGATAAGAGAGACCCAAAATAACAAGGAGAGGAAATGGCTCGGTGAAACACCGATGTATGGCAAGCTTCGAAGCCTTGGTTTAAAATGCTGTACACATCGTAGACTTTCAATTATTCTCGTTAGAGTAACTAGCATGATACTTTCAGTTGAACTGCTAGTTCAAAGATTTCGGTAAATCGCTGTATGTACTAAATCATTTGGCAATCTACTTACCGGAAAGAAGTTACCGCAAAAATATATAATTCTGATGGCCCCCTGGTACTTCCCAACTATTTACTGTAAAGATAAGGATTCATTTTAGCCAAATCCGCGTAAATTTTTTTGTGAATGACATGGATCCATCGGTCCTGCGCTGCGCGTTCTCACTTGTTACCTGCTCGATGTGTATGTCAACAGCTTTAAAGGTCGCTCCGATGGCCGAATACTTTCTCGCAGGTACCCTCCTCACTGATAAGAAGCATCTACTGATTGTCAGTAAGGCAAGCAACATGCCTGTCGCGGAGAGCCCACGAGAAACTGGTTAAGAAGCCGCCACAAAAAAAGTGAAAAAAAAAATGTATTTTGTCTTGAAAGGCGGATACACAGTAAATGTACTGTCAGATTGAACCTGGAGCACAAAGGACTGATGGTGTGGTGGTAACACATTGCGTCTGGACGTAAACGGGAGTAATTCGATTCCCTCCCGGTCCAGAACAATTTTCGAGAAAGGGCTCCATTCAAGAAAATGCCCATCGGATTTTACTTTCCTGCACATTTGCAATAAAATCCACATTCTCTTCTCCCTCTCCGATTCACAAACTTCATCGAAGACCATTACGTACAGGCAAGCATAAACACCAGTGCACTGGGTTTTCGGATTTATGTGAAAATGTCTAAAAATGAAACCTTGTAGTCGATATCGATGAAATGCAACGTCGCAGCAAGGTAGTACGGTGTCCAGCAAAGCAGGAAAAAAGTAACAATGCTCCAAGTCATTCGCACTGTTTTCATTTTAGCTTTTCGCATTTTCAACCGATATGATTCCCTGCTTGCTGCGTGATTGTCATTGCCATTCTCCAGTTTACCATTTTTATTACCTGAGTTTTTGATGTTATTTTTACGCTGAAACATTTTGATGAATTGGGTGAGGGCCGTAATAATACATTTTGCGTGCTACTCATCTGACGGAAAGTCTGATTCTTTCTCCATCACAGAGGCAATGCTGACTGCACGGATGACAAATACGAACGTCACGTGCCAACATTCGTGAAATAAAAGAGAATCTGTCCATAATTAATTTTCTGTGAGAAAAAGAAAATGGCTTGAGTGACAGCGGATACCAACAGTAACCAGCTTGCTGGTAACGCCATCGATGATGGCAGGTTTAATTCCTTGACATAGGCCCAGTACCAATTTACGATCAAAATGAATGAGCGAATCGTAGACGGATTAACCGCTCAACTGGAGCAATAGAGACAAGTATGAAATTGAGGCGACTGGCAGATACCAAATGGAGAAATGCAATTCGGAACAGAAGAGCCATGAATAGTTGCTTCAGGCAATAGGTATTAGGCTCAACAACTTAAAAGTTAAGATTCTTTATGGTGACTGCTTAAAAAGTTAGGAAAGCCTGGTTTTTTTTTTCTCGAATTCTAACGGTATTTTATAAAAGACGTGAATCTACTCTGCCAAGACAAAGAAAAGACAAAAAATTAACCATGAGCAAACACGTCAAGCACCATATAATTTCGTTCTGCATTTGCAATCACTGAAATTTGCATATTATTAGAATTTTTTGCTCATAAGAGGTTAATAACCCAGGCTAAAACGTACCAGGCTAGCCGGTGATATCGTGCGTTTTTGCGTTAAGCTTGCGAATCGCCACAACACTTAGACTAATATTAGTCGTATTTTAACCTCTTCCAGCATGTTAGGAGGAAAAGGTATCGGCTGGGATGAAGATTTTTCATTACGGGGTCATATGGACCTCCAGCGTGCATGACTGTCAGTTTTTTGCACTGAATGCGGTCGTTTTTTCGGTATATCTTCGACCATTGGAAACACACAAAATTTGAAGTCCGAAGAGGATATGAAATCTGCAAAATTTATTTGCTTTCGAGTTTGCGATAAAATTCAGTATTTGCCATGACCGCGTGCACGAAATTTCACCTCCAAGCTAAAGTAAAACCGTCAGTGAATATGGAACATCCATGCAACTTTTAGCATCGCAGCTAGACTGGTAAGAACAATAGCCACTTGGTTACAAATATCTTTGGAGTGCCTTATGACGTGGCGAAGTTGCAAATTGGAAATTAAGTTAGGCATACGATTTCCTACGGACGACAAATATTCTGTCAAAATATAATAGAAATCGTCAAAAGCAATCGTTGGCTCACTAAGCTTTTGATGGCTTTTTTTGAAGGTTACTTACAAGCGAGCCGATGAAAAGTTCGACTGCCTGGCAAATGCTATTACCAGTTTACTTGCGCTACCAACATTCCGTGCATGTCGCTACCTTCTCTCCTTGTTACGATAATAATACTTCCAGCTACGTCAAATTCGAAGCGTACCAAGGCCAGTAGTGATGATGTTGTCCCGAACAATCACACCGGCCACAGAGTGTCTATCGAGGTTCTACTTTTATATTACAATCTTTTTATCTTTCCCAACCACTCTAAATTTATAACTTACAAATTCTATTCCCTATCTTTTTCTTTATTCCTTTTTCTTCTTTTTTCCTTCCTCCTCCCTTACATTCTTTCCTTTTCTTTCTGTTCTCTGAACACCACGACCGTCATACTGAGGAGGTCCAGTAGTGGCGTTGAGCTAAGATGTATATGACTTAATGGACCAAAATGTCTTACCTCAATCGTTTTCCCTCCTATTTTCTTCTTTTTATACACCTTTCTTATTTTGGCACCCGAGATCAACCTGGACGCTACAATCAGCTTACTATCGAAACCCATTACCGGCTTACCATGAACGAATCGTAGAAATACTGATTATTCTGCAAGCGGAGTTGAAACTTTGTCCAAATATGTGCCAAAACTGCTACTCCCTATTGCGCCATGTCAAAACAACTTAAAAAATTGAATTTAATCAGATTAATAAAGCTCTGCACAACTTACAACAGTGCTGCAATGCTTCAGATGCCCTCAGGCGATAGTGAATCTGACTGTAGCAATAGATTATCACACAGAGCGGTATGAAGTAGATATAGAATGCTGTAGCTATGGTATACGCTAAGACATAGCGTGAATCCAGGAGACCGACATAATCACGTGCAATGCACTGTGTTAGCAACTCGTTACATGGATGACTTGCTACCATAAATATACCGACCTGCAAAAAATCAAAATTTGGGCCTGGATAAGAGTATAAGCAAAATCGGCCAAACGTGAGAATTATTTCAGTTAGCATTATGAAACTGACTGAACTGATGAAATGCTGCCACAAGTCAGTGCTTTAATAATCATTGATAAAGGCGATGAAACACAGCTTGCTTCTCTTATTTGACTGCTTCGACATGCGACATTTGTTTTTGCCATCTTTGGTTCATATTTTTGTATAACTTTATTTTTTGCCATCAATACTACTATGAAAATGAGGCTGTATACTCCATGTTTCCGTATCCGAAAATGGCCAGCCAAAAGCTTTCAAACTTATATTTTTGCAATAAAACTAAATCTGCCCTGCGTTAAATAAACAAAATCACCTTTAGCTTTCTTCTAAGCAATACTCTAAAGAGAAAGTCATCGCAGACTTGCCAGTGAGTGGTTGTTGTTTCCATGTGCTATATCTCTCAATCTATCTTCGAATGCTTTCTTTCTCTAACAAGAAAAAAACTGTGGAGTAAGCTCCATAATTCCTAATAGATGTAGAAAAAATAAAGTCACAGCAGCAGAAATAATAACGTGGGAATCGAGTTTTTTCGAGGAGCGGATCGGGTGAATCAGGACAAATCATCATTACTATTTAATTTTTGGCGTAAACCATTTCAGAACTTGAAGGAGTAACTTGATTATTTAACTTGGATCAACTTTAACTTGGAGTTCACAATAGAGAAGAATGGAGAAGCTGCTAGCCAGATCCATAGCAAGAACAAACATATCAGTGAAACATGAAGTGATTAAAGAATTATCAATGCAATATACCTGAGGCAAACTAATAGCGAAAGCAGTAATCCATGCAAAAATCAGCATAATTTTATTGCGCCTAACTCCAGTGATTACCGAAAATGGTCGATATACTGAGAGCCAACGATCGATGCACATACAGACCAGAACAGCGGATGATAATGATACACCGAATATATCAAAAAAACGAGTTATCTGGAAAAAATTTAAAAGTTAGGATCTTAATTCATCTAAAACTCAGTGGTACCAGTGTGATGATGTGCTTTTGCGTGAGCTGGTTCAACCAGCATATGCGAAATACGGAAATATTATCTTTATCCTGAGATTTCATTTAAACTGGCGTCTGTATCAGAAGTGTAATTTTAGTCATTAGTTTGCCTTGTCAAAGCTGAGGTACCACATTGTGATCAATTTACTCAGGTCACCTCGAGAAAACAGAAGAGCAAAGCTGCTGTAACAGAGACACCGATGACGCGGTGGAAGCATGAAGTGTCTCATCAAAACTGAGTAAATAATCGGACTATTCGTTAGCTGAACGACATGCAGGATATCACTACGACCATGCCAGAAAGTAAAATCCGATGAGAGTAGCAGGAGATGTTGCTCGCCTTCGACGTTGCACATCAGCATTTGTGAGAAGAAAAATGATAACTCATATAGAGTTATGATAATCTCCTTTATTTACAGATTGCTTGAAAAAACTACTCACTTTGCATAACAAATCACCACCGTACCAATAGGTGGTACTCGAATGAATAATCTGTTTCGGCAAATATTCAAATGTTACGATCAGATCGGCAATATTCATATGCAAAAGTAGGATGAAGATACGGTGAGCCGCATGATTGGCGCACAAATTACGACAGATGATCAGGAACATGCCAACGTTGCCAACAACCGCAAAACAAAATAGCACTACGTGGCAGAGGATCTGTACGGAAGCAATGAGATAACTCAGCGAAAAATGAGGCAGAATTGAAATGTTCAGAGGAAAGATATGAATATACACCTCACCTCCCCCCCCCCCCCCCCCCCCCCCCCCCCCCCCCCC